TGCATTCAATTTTTTACGGGGAGATTGAAAACTAAGCGTGGCCACAATAGCGTCATGATCGCTAATACCAGGAATGACGTCAACTCGTTTAACAATGCCAGGATAGTTACAAAATAATAAATCGAGTATGTTCGAGCCACGCGTAGGTGTGAGAACATGCTGTGTGAAGCCCAAAGTGTCAACCATGCATTTTAAATCAAGGTTTAAACGACTGAGTGATCCACAGGTACACATTTCGTCACTCCATATCATATCTGGAAGGTTAAAATCCCCACCAAGTAGCACACAGTCATTAGAAACACTAGAAACCAGATCGCTAAGTTGGCATAAAACAGTGGGGTCAGAACTTGGGGGTCTGTAGAATACGCCTACAATAAGATTAAAACCATCAGGCAGTCTGACCCGACACCACACTGACTCAACTGTATTTCCAGCTATATCTAGTTGGTAACTTTGTAAGGAGGTACTAATAAGCAAAAAAACTCCTCCTCCGTGCAGCGACCTATCTCTTCTGTAAACATTGAAATTGCTGGGAAAGACTTCATGATCAGGAACAGAGTCATCCAACCATGACTCCGTCCCAAGGATAACATCAGCCTGTACAGATTTGATCAAACCGGACAATTCCTCTATTTTGTTTTTTACACTTCTGCAATTCACGACCACCAAAACAACATCCCTCCGTGATACTATCTTTTTTTTATCAGAGGGGCGTCAGGCACGTTTCACGGGTACAACCTGCTCGGTCTCGGTATCCCAAGTAAACACTTTTCCGTTGATTACAAGCTTATCATGCGTTAGTTTTACTTTGTTCGTTACGTCCTCCCTTTTAGCTTTAGCGTACGCCCAAAGATGACGTCGCTTTTCTCTAACTTCCAATGAGTAATCGTCAGACAAAGACACGAACGTACCCTTTAACTTGTATGCTTTTCTCATGATAGCATTTTTTTCATCGAGGGACGAGAAACGCACTAACACCGGCCGTGCTCTTTCCGCCGAGTATCTCCCAAGCCGGTGAATTTTTTCTATAACCGGCGGCCTAATATCAAGTTTCTTTTCAAAAATTTCTAAAATCACCTTTTCGAATCACCTTTTCGAACTCGAATGAAATCTGACCTTTCTCTTCCCTTACTTGCTACCCGACGGAAAATGTTTCGCCTGTGCCTATTGCATAAAGTCTATTATTCCCCTCTACTACATCAGAATCTTCTCACTCCGCCAACCTATTCATCCTCTAGACTAGATCATCCGAAAAAAATAGCCCGGCCACGATGTTTTTCCACAGCTCATCAAAACGCCCTTCTCCCCGACGCAATTGTGGACTGGAATGGCCTTCCCGGTGACATCGCAGCCATCGAGGATTCCGCCGCATTTCGCGAAGTGATTCATCAATATTGTATTACCCACTCCCCTCTTTAACGCCTCACGGCCTTGAGGGTATTGTAAATAAATAAATAAATAAATAAATAAATAAATACCCTTTCCAATTGTCATTGCGCACCTTGGACACACTTTGGGGAGCAATGCATATTTACATCGCCGCCCGAGGTCTCCATTGAACGTGTAGTGCTGACCCAAATAAAATGCTAACCTGACTCTCAATCGCTCACCGCAAAGGACGATTTCGAACAGGTGGTACTGTAGGTCACTTGAGATAAAAAAGAAAAGAAAAACAAGCTATAGAAACGAGCGTCGTAAAAAAGGGGACCGGCATTTTTATTCCTACCTCCGAACAGAAACGAGCGCCACCCACTGCATCACACAGCGCAGAGGCCGGACTCGGCCACCGCGCGTACATACCAAGCGCGCGCGAGGGAGGGAGAAACTTCCTCCGCCGGGAGAACACGGCACATTTCGGGATCTATTTCACGCAGCGGATAACGCGGGCCTTTTCACACCTCGATACTGGCGCCATCTAGAAGTTGCGCGTTCAACCACGTTTCGAGCCGCGCGCCATCTGGTGGCTGACACGGACGAATAAATAGAGGTACCGCGCCCTCTTAAAGATAACCGCCTTGCTCTGTAATGGGGCAACAAGGTTGGAAATAACTAGGGTGCCTCAATGTCCTTCTGTTTAGGGTGATGCCACCCTTTGTAGTAGCCGATGCTGACAGCACGCTTACTGGGAAAAGAAATCGACGAAAACAAAATGTCGCCATAGCACAGTCAGCGCCACAAATGCGCGCAGGGGCACGCTCTTTCACGCGCTTCTGAACAAAAAATAAAAGTGTGGGACAAAATGGCGAGACTCCACCACCCTAAGCAAAGCGCACATGAAGGCACCCTAGAAATAACCAACATAACACCGCCGCAGTTTTCGCAGCAAGGGGGCTGGGCCTCCCAAAGGCGAGCTCGATGAAATAATCTGGTCGTTATGGGCAGAGCTCTTGGACTTCTACTGTGTAACCAATGGCGTGGCGGAGGTCGGCAAGATAGGCGCATTGCTACTCACATTGTACGGTGCCCACGCCTACGAGGCGGCTGGCGCTTTGGTGGCGCCCAGGAAGCCCGACGAGGTGTGTTTTCCCATTTTCACCTGCGTCTGTCCGAGCTGCCGCAGGAAGTTGCGAAGCCGTGACGAAGCACCTGGCGAGTCCCCCACAAACTTCGTTGAAGCTGGAGTCCCGATAATGCTGGCCGCCGACTTCAACCTCTGGGTGTCCATAAGACAATTCGCAACACGACCGAGCCGACGGCCGGAGATATGAGGCCAGATTCTCAAAGCGAACTTACGACGAAAAAAATGCGTGCGACAAATTTGAGAGAAAATCCGTATTCTCGAAACGAAATTGTCGTAACTTTTGCGCAGGTTACGACAAAATCCTACGACAGCTCCGAAGCTGTCTTACGCACTTTCTACGATCAAATTAACATGGCCGACAACGTCGCTCAGTTGCTCGGTCGCGACGACCCAACGGACATTTATTTTTCTGCCTGCTCTTCTTGCGCGGCCCGACTTCAAGCAGCAAGAAAAAAAATGAAGAAGTACTTGAAACCGACCACGACGAACATGAACGCTGGATCCAGACACCCGGAAAAGGCAACAAAGGCGACGATCCCACCGACCAAGCGAGCTCGACAGAATATATAGGCCTAGCAGGCACTCCGACCCGTTCCGGCGCAGCATTGCTCAGACGGTCCTTGGCCAAGACCGTCTGCCCACGACCGGCTGGCTTGCTGAATGGAATATGCCCGCGCGACCCTTGTGGACCCTCCCCGTAGGAATAGTTTGATAGCTGAACTAAATTTCAGAGGTCAACCGATTCCCCTTATCATCTCGATCACCTTGTTTTCCGAGGCAGCGGTGACGAAAGCTGTCATCGAAAAGGGACTCCTCGATTCTATCTCCTTGTTTTGTGTGATATAGAGCTCAAATAAACGCCGTATGGATTACCTTCGCAACGCGGTATGTATACACTTTGTTATTAGTATGCCATTTTTAACTGTCGAGCTGTATCAGTTTGTGGGAGCTACGCGATGCCGGTCCAACCTTTCTTTGCCGAGTGTCACGTCAGTATCGAGTTGCAATCGTAGAAGATCGGTCCCGAAGCGCTTACCGAAACGCAGTCTGAATCCAGCACTCGGATCAAACGCACGCGTCCGCTCCGAGTGTGAACAGGTATTTGCGTGACTCTTGCTGACACTCTCGTAGTTCAAACGTATCTTTTTTCACGTCGGCTCACTCCTGCATTTCCGAGGCCGCGAGAAGCGCCGCGGCGGCTTGTTTCCATCTACGTCGCTTTGCAAACGACTGGCACGGGGCTTTTACCAACGATGACAGTTGTGTTGACTTCGTAGCGATCGAGTTTGTAGCAGTCAACGAAGCGTTTAAATCCTGTTAGCGTCGATATACCACTGCACGGACACGAACCCCAGACAAGCGGTGGTGGAAGGGTCGCCCGCGTTTATGAGAATCAGCTTGAACACTACACATTTACACACAGACAGGACAGGACATACACGGAGCTGTCTATCAACGAGTGGTTAGCCTGTGTTTGTTATTAAAAATCCACGTGCTCCGAACTATGCCTAGCTCTCTAATTGGTTGTTCGTTTTGCCGAGGACGCCGTTGCCATAGCAACAGCACCGGAAGTCATCGTTTCTCCGTAGGAGGTCGTAACTTTCCTCCTCTCACTTAAGAACGCGTTTGTGAATACCGTTCTCGCCTCATCTTACGATGATCGTAACTTTACGAACTTCGTAGCTAAGTTGTCGTAGGTAAGAGGTTCTTTATGAATCTGGCCTATGATCTGTGGAGGTTCAGCCATCCGCGTGCGTGGAGCGCAGGTCGTCCAGTACTGGCTCGGCTGCCGTTGGATATCCTGTGGAAATAGCGATGTTTGTGGTGTTCGTGACGAATGGCTGCAGCAGCGCCTCGTCGCGGAGCCGGAGTTGGCGTTCAAAATACATGCATGACGATCCGCACAGAAGGCGGCGCATTCAGCAGCAGGATCTCAGGACAACGAAGACTGAAGTGAACAAAAGCATCAGAAGTGGAGACAAAAGGCACCCACACCGTACTCTGCTTCGAAACACATTCTGCTACTGTCTCCCGACTTATGAACGTGCCCTGACGGTTTTACGAGAGACCGGGCAGGGGTCTTGTCGGTTTTGCAATAGACCGGCAATACTCGTCACTCATTCAAACCTGATAATGAGGGACAGCTTATTCGGGCTACCTGCGTTACCACATGTGTTTGTAGGGTTGCGACGTCCGCATGAAAGCAACGAAATGAAACAACGTTTGCGGATCCTATACTTTATGTTCAGACGAATCGACAGTCGGGCGACATTCGTTCAAAAAGACCAACACTCGCGTGCCATCCAGGCAAACGGACAGTGTCAGTACTGCACACGTTGAAAGAACAAGGAAGTGCAAAAAGATACAGGATCATGACGAGCACCGGGTACGTATATTCCGAAAACGAATACGAGATTAGTATGAAACTAGCGCAGGCCCACGTGCCCCTTGCGTGGTGGCCGAACGACATTTATCGCTTTCAGGCTCTCTGGATACTAACGAACGTGGACATATACAGCAAAGTATGGGCGCACTCGAAAGTTTTTGCATCTCTCTCCGATACTAATGGTGACAAGCGATCATTACCGGAGTTGCAGCCGGACGGTCCACCGTTCTTCGACAAGTCTTCCTTCGGAACGGTGGAATGCCGACGGCGAAGCGGCGATCCGCTGAAAGCTGCTCCGACAGTTCCCGGGCTGTGTTCCTCATCGAAACCGCATTGCCCTCCTTGCTGTACTGGGCGTCCCTTGGCTATGCTCTGCACTCGCACGTTGGTAATCCCGTGAATGGCACGCTCGTGCCTCTTGGCGTTGCTCTTGGAGTTCGAGGTGTACCGGCAGCCCGCCACGCTGCAGACAAATTTCCTCTCACCAGTGTGAATGGTCAGGTGTCTTGTCAGGGCACCCGGTCGGCTGAAGGGACGCTCGCAGAACTGGCAGTAGTAGTCCGCCTCGGAGTGTACCTGCTTCCTGTGGCTCCTCGCGTCGAACTGCGTCCAGAAGGCGTGTTGGCAGCACACGATGGCCGACCTGAGACGCTCGTGAATCTTCTTATGCCGAGCCAGGTTGTTGCTCCGGTCGGTCGCGTAGCCACATCGCGGTACGTCGCAACGATGTCGAGGTGAATGGTTCCGTGCACTGGGGAGGAACGACATCGAGGTTAACTCTGGTGTCACGACGAATAAGGGTTGATGATTGTTCACATGCGAACTCGCCACTCAACGGATTCGGGTTGGGAGCCAACGGCACCGACGAGTGTTGTATAAAGGGGCATGTAACATGGTTTCGAATGAGTGGATTCCTTGCCGATCGCTTTATGAAAAGCGCTAGCGCCTTGGGGAAGCTCGGATAGTCAAATTTGATCGACCTTTGCGTAAAGGCAGTGTGCTTGAGGAATGGCGAAAATGTGTACGGAAATAATAGAAGGGATATAGAGTGGGACGATTAATACCCCTGTTTCACGGACATTTGAAAGGCCTTCCGTCCAAAGGCTTTTCCGGAGTCTGCGAACCAGCGTTTGCCAAGGGGCGCACGCAGTTGAGATCGTGAGCTCAGTCGCCGATTCTTTGAAGACCTTTCAAATTCCCGTGGTACAAGAGTAAAAAAATAGGTATGCTATTCCGTCTTTTTTATTCATTCGTGTACATAATCAGTTCCGACAAGGAACAGGGGAGACATGACCGAACGGCGAGAGGTAAGGCCGGTAATTTGTGGTCGCTACATTGCGGTCTCTGAAACGGCTGAATATGTTAGATGCCAAATGCGTTGGAACAGTTCAGCTTTTTTACGCATAGACATTGCTAATCCTTTTCTGGGAATCTTAAAAAAATAGTTAAGGGGGTATTCACTGTCTAACGCTTCGGCTATATGTAATATAAAATTTCGAACATGGGCTTACCTCATTTTCGCCTATTTGGAGGGACCGGTGCTAGCTCTTGCAGGCTGGAGGTTGAAGAGACACGGACAGCTGGATGGGAACCTCAGGCTGTTCTTGTACCCACAGCCGAACTCTCGACCCATTGTTTTCACCTTTGGTGCTTTGTCCGGCCAGGCTTCCATATCCATCTAACCTTAGGTTATTCAAGGTCATCTTTGACTTCAATTCCATCTGCGAATTACTTGACCCCGTTTTTGTGAGTGTGTTTGTGTTAAGAACCGTGAGGACATTTCGACGACACCGATTGGTGGAATCTTTTGTTTGAAACGTGGATGATCTTTCGTTGGTAACCTTTTGTGTAGAAATAATGTTGGGCGGATGAGGCTTTGTGCGTCGATGTAGAATCTGGTGGTTTCTGAAGACTGAAGAGAAAACGTTGCGGCAATGCTGTTACCGGATGTACAAAGCCAGTGGGGAAAGGGGGGGGGGGGGGGAGGGAGAGAGGGAGACTATAGAATTCCGTGCTGATTTTCTGTGTAACCCGTCGTCGCAGTTTAGATCTTGAGTGTCCGTGCATGTCCTTCCCAGAGCCTTTTGTCCTTCCCTTCTCGTTTTTCTTTTTTTTTATTTATTTTTCGATTAATCGCCATTGTGCGTTTTTTTTTTCTTTTTCGCATGTATAGTTTTACGTTTGAGTGTTTTCCTTCGGCTGTTGTGAAGTCGATTTTAGTTCCCCGAAAGGCTTAATTGTGTGTTACTTTCTGCGGCCGCTAAACCAGTTTAGAAGCGCAAGATCGGGCGCTGTTGTGCAAGAAATATTTCTTGACACCCATGGATAATTTGGGTCTGAGTGTCGGGAGCATGTTTTCAGTTTTGAATATACTCGTATAAAAGAAATGGAGCAATAAGTTGAGCGACGCAGATTAGCGAATACACATACACGGTGAAACATTGGTTTGGTTGCTCGAATTAGTGAAGAACTTGTGTTTATCTTGTTCTGCCGTGATGTCCACACTAAATGTCTGCTACGATCGGGGTGGCGACTCCTTGCTTGACGTGCCGACTGCCCGTTTGACGTGGCGAGGTCGTTTAACGCCAAGCTTTGCAAGTGATTCTGATAACTACAGATAGTTGCAATTGGTATTCATAAAACGTGTGCGGCGATCGGCTTTGAATGCGGCTTTATTCGTGCGCGAAGTCGTGTTGCTAGACGCCGAATATAGGCAAAACTTCGCATGCTTGACTGGCTCATTTGAGCAGCTGATTAATTACTGCGTTCAGACTGCAAAGTACATTTCAAAGTGACAATATCACGATATTTTTGTAGTTAATTCTTGTAGCAATTGTTTTCCAAGGATTGATCATTTCAGAAACTGCGTTCGATAAGGCGTGGGAAAGTTATTCGGCATGTGAATACGACTTATTGAAGAATAAATTTTACTTAATTTGGTGTAGCAGATTTTAATAAAGTAGGTACGCTATTTATTTCTGTGTGTAAGTGTTAGAATCTGGCAGGACTTAAAACAACCCAGTGAGAATTGTTTCACGTGACCAGTATTAACATATGTGATAGCGCCATCTTTGCAAACGGAAATGGCCACTGCTTTCGCAAAAACTGCTCCCAGGCTTGCAGCCTATACCTGCCTCGCGTACTGTCTGCAACCGGTTAGCGAGTTTGGCAGTAAGAAATTTTGCGAGCGTAGCGACTAGCAATTTGTGAGACCGTAGTAGCGGGACCGCCGACAACTGTGTACTGCGTGTTCCATAAGCTCGCGACTGATCGGGAATAGACTATACCATAACAAGGGGATGCTAGCGCCACCCTTTTTAACTCGCGTAGTTACGAACACTCACTTATCTTGCACAACAACGTGGCTGCGAGCGTGTCACTAAAACAAATAAAGAACGGTGCACGACCGAATTTACTCTCACTTTTAATATAGGAATGGTACCGCTCAGTCTCTTGTTTTTACTCCGAAATAACATCTCGGCGCATAAGGGAAATAACATCTCGGCGCGTGGTGAAGAAAGGGCAGTTGTATTGCGCCTACGACCTCCTCACCACACCACGAAACTTGTACTGGGGCGACGTGAACAAACCGGGAGCACATTTGAAGATAGTCTCCGTTGCCTAATATACCCAACCAAATCTAGCTTTTTTTTTTCTTTTTTTTTTAACTTTGGTCAGACGTTTTGAAAGGGATCACGGAAACACATGTCGATTAGATAATGAACATAGTTGCCAAAAACCACCCACAAATTTCGAAAGGAAAACGAAGGACGGCCGGTATGTTCCGAATGCTTGTTGATCTGCTCAGTCGCTGCGTGGATTTCTCGGCACACTTGCAGCGATGGTTTTTCATTTGCACCAAAATTGCGCCATGAACAAAAGACTGTTACGTCTTGCGCCAAAGCGCCATTTTTGCTCAGAATTGCGCCACACCTGCGCCAAAATGGTCTTCCAAAAAAAAAAAAAAAAAGTAAATAAAAAAATATTGTAATGTTGGTCGCCTGTAATATTCAGAAAAGTAGGAGGAAAGAAAAATGGCACAAATATTTGTTTCACGGCGTCTCTACTCACCATATAGTTTGTTTCATCTTAGGTCAGAGCACAGTCGAAGGCTCGAACGCATAGAACCCCGAACACACATACTAAAAGCGCAAGTCAAGGGTAACATTCACTGCACATTATTGGTTTAGCCGATAAAAAAAAAAAAACACGTACACGGAGATAAAATGCCGTAATGTCGCGCTTTCATTCTGTTTGATTTGTCCCATTGACTCGTAGAGTCGATTGTGACGTCGATTTCACGTGAAACGAGGTATAGATTGTTCGTCAATCGCTCTGGCCGGCTGACGCGCGGGCCAGTTGATCGCCGATATCGTCTAAAATTTTCAGACGATGTCTGCGATGTGAGGAACTAGGAGTTGCGAGAACACTTTGCAGAGTAGTAGGACGGTGGTATACTGTGATAGGACAGGACCTGGTTCTCCCGACGACGTCTACCACATGCCATCGTGCCGTAGCTGCGGAGTACAGTGCGTCGGGCTTCACTGCTTCGCGCCAAAGTGCTAGGAGCAGTGGCCAACCCGATGGCAGGGTTAGCGCGGTGAGCATGACATTTCTGCTCAGTATTATTACAGATCGACCTTCTTTGTCTTTATCGCAAATTAATTTCTAAAAAAAATATTCGAAATAATAAGAAATAAAAGAAAAAAAAAAAGAAACGTCTATATTTGAGTAAATACATAGTTCCCGCGCAGCTGCCGATCGAAAGAGCAGCGAACTTTGACTTGAATCTGGCTCCAACACCGCTAAAGAGCAGTGGCACCTTTAAAGTACAATTGCAGGCCTCGTAATATTTGTGGGTGGTTGTTTTTTGTAATTTTTGATATTAGTCTTGAGTTTGAAAGGTTCATAAAACGTGGAGGACGTGTTTTTATTGATAGACGGGTAGCGGATGTGCTGGTTCTTGCTGGCATTTTGCAGAAATTAAATTTGCCCGCTAATTAAACTACTGAATGAAAAAAAAAATGGGGTGGAGGAGAGGTTTTATCCCAACTGAAGGGTCGGGCTAGGCTTTAATTTTCAGCCCTTTTTAGTACCCATTGTAAATGGACCCCTCTCCTACCCGATCCTTATTTCTAAATAGGAGGCTATGTGCTCCTTTTGCGCCTTAGCTATCTTTATCAGAAAAAATAATAAAGTAATATGCTGCATATAAAAGAGGAACTGTCAATCATTATCATAGATGAACTCATTTAAAGATGCAATCATTTTTTTTAAATTTTCAACTGATGTGCTAACAGATGTTGGCATCTGCTCCAAAAGCGTCGGCGGGTGATGTGCTAACAGATGTTGGCATCTGCTCGAAAAGCGTCGGTGCGTGCCCTAAACCAATATCTCGCCTGCTACAGAACCTTCTGCGAAAGGTGAAATTCCGCTTGTATCACTGTCATTTGTCTCTCAAAAAGCGTTGACGCAAATAGTGAGAAACTTGACGAATTGTGCTGGTAAAGTTTCGGGAAAGCAACTTGAACATCGGAAAGGACGAGCAACTTGAACGCCTTTCCGGCGTTCAAGTTTCTTTACTTTATCCCCAGTCAGAAGCCCGTGCACCGTGCGAGTTTTTAATAGTTGCCGCTAGATGGCGTCACCATACTGTGCGCTCGATTATACTTCGTTTCAGCTTCGGTCCGAGCGCGGCCGATGTTGTAAGCCGAAGGGCCAATGAAACAGCGAAAGTGGCACAACGTCATGGCGTGCTTTCTGCAGTTGATAGGACCAGCCGGTACTCGCCGTTTCTCTGTGCGTGCTCCTCTGCCGGCTAGTTCTATGAAGCGCAGAGAGCACGCCATGACGCGGCGCTTTTTGCGGTGTTTGATTGGCCCTTCGGCTCATAACATCGGCCGCGCTCGGACGGAAGCTGAAACGCGGTATAGTAAGAGGTAAAATAAATGAAGGCCATGAGAGGTAGATTACTCACGATCGGAAACCGCTCGATTCAAAGGGGACAGCCACCGTGTCACCTCGTCCTCAGTTTTGTTTCAAACAAGCGAATGCAGCCCCACAAATACGTGCGGGGGAAAATAAATATTTAAAGAAAAGTTGGGAGTCTTAATATTATATCACTAAACTGGACATGTGAGTAAACTTTTTTTCATTATCATAATTCATACGAGTCATGTCTCGCTTTTACCAAATGGTACAAGAGCCAACATATAAAATACTATTATGGTCACCGTTCCAATCATATATATAATAATTACGTAAAAGATTTGTTAACGGCCCATATATCTTCATCTTAGAATGGAGGTAGAAATATTTCTTTTCAAACGCACTCCTTAGTGTGACGAAACCATATATATCGAAGAAATTTTATTGCATATATAAGAACGCATAAAAAGCTTTTCATATAAGAATATTGGAAAAAATAAATATTCGTATTTTTTAATGATGTTGAATTTTGTACTTTTAGCTTTTCTTCTCAAGCGTACAGTGTTGTTTCTCTAGATAAGCTATGCTGAAATTAACAATATTGTAATTTTCAATATGCATAGATACAAGCTTCCATTTGATATGTTATTTCTGTTTAAATAATTGTACATCGAAAGCCAGCTCGATTCAAACTTCGGCCATTATTGTCAAAGGTGCAAGATCCAAGAAATTTTATTTCATAAGATAAAATAAAAAAAATACACTTCTAAAGAACTTAAACCCTTCTTTACGAAATGTTAAAGCAGTAAAAAAAAAAAAAAAAGAAAGCTATTCTTGTTGTGAAAATTATAATCTAAACGTTGCGAGGCTCCAAAATGTGTCACTCGTGAAAACTGCGAAAATCGCGAGACCTATCTTGTCC